AAATTTAAATGTCCTTCGTTTTTTTTAACCGCCCAACTATTTTTCGTTCTTAACTCCTCGAAATTTCGTTATAAACTAATATATCACCGATAAATTATTCAAATTTGATTGAATAAAAGCTGACGGCAAAAGCATTTGAAACTGATAGGAGAGCACATGAAGTTAGATTAAAATATTATCGGTAAAAAAATTGGTCAAAACAAAATATAAATTTGCTTAAATATTAACAAAAATACAATTTATATCGAAAGATAACGAAGACCAAGTGAAGGGTTATTTTAAATTTTACACTAACTAGAAAAGAACTAGAATGGAACTAGAATAGAACAAGAACAGAACTAGAACAGAACTAAAACAGAACTAGAACAGAACTAAAACAGAACTAGAACAGAACTAGAACAGAACTAGAACAGAACTAGAACAGAACTAGAACAGAACTAGAACAGAACTAGAACAGAACTAGAACAGAACTAGAACTGAACTAGAACAGAACTGGAACAGAACTGGAACAGAACTGGAACAGAACTAGAACAGAACTAGAACAGAACTAGAACAGAACTAGAACAGAACTAGAACAGAACTAGAACAGAACTAGAACAGAACTAGAACAGAACTAGAACAGAACTAGAACAGAACTAGAACAGAACTAGAACAGAACTAGAAAAGAACTGGAACAGAACTAGAACAGAAAGAACAGAACTAGAACAGAACTAGAACAGAACTAGAACAGAACTAGAACAGAACTAGAACAGAACTAGAACAGAACTAGAACAGAACTAGAACAGAACTAGAACAGAACTAGAACAGAACTAGAACAGAACTAGAACAGAACTAGAACAGAACTAGAACAGAACTAGAACAGAACTAGAACAGAACTAGAACAGAACTAGAACAGAACAGAACTAGAACAGAACTAGAACAGAACTAGAACAGAACTAGAACAGAACTAGAACAGAACTAGAACAGAACTAGAACAGAACTAGAAACAGAACTAGAACAGAACTAGAACAGAACTAGAACAGAACTAGAACAGAACTAGAACAGAACTAGAACAGAACTAGAACAGAACTAGAACAGAACTAGAACAGAACTAGAACAGAACTGGAACAGAACTGGAACAGAACTGGAACAGAACTAGAACAGAACTAGAACAGAACTAAAACAGAACTAGAACAGAACTAGAACAGAACTAGAACAGAACTAGAACAGAACTAGAACAGAACTAGAACAGAACTAGAACAGAACAGAACTGAACTAGAACAGAACTGGAATAGAACTGGAACAGAACTGGAACAGAACTGGAACAGAACTAGAACAGAACTAGAACAGAACTAGAACAGAACTAGAACAGAACTAGAACAGAACTAGAACAGAACTAGAACAGAACTAGAACAGAACTAGAACAGAACTAGAACAGAACTAGAACAGAACTAGAACAGAACTAGAACAGAACTAGAACAGAACTAGAACAGAACTAGAACAGAACTAGAACAGAACTAGAACAGAACTAGAACAGAACTAGAACAGAACTAGAACAGAACTAGAACAGAACTAGAAAAGAACTGGAACAGAACTAGAACAGAACTAAACAGAACTAGAACAGAACTAGAACAGAACTAGAACAGAACTAGAACAGAACTAGAACAGAACTAGAACAGAACTAGAACAGAACTAGAACAGAACTAGAACAGAACTAGAACAGAACTAGAACAGAACTAGAACAGAACTAGAACAGAACTAGAACAGAACTAGAACAGAACTAGAACAGAACTAGAACAGAACTAGAACAGAACTAGAACAGAACTAGAACAGAACTAGAACAGAACTAGAACAGAACTAGAACAGAACTAGAACAGAACTAGAACAGAACAGAACTAGAACAGAACTAGAACAGAACTAGAACAGAACTAGAACAGAACTAGAACAGAACTAGAAACAGAACTAGAACAGAACTAGAACAGAACTAGAACAGAACTAGAACAGAACTAGAACAGAACTAGAACAGAACTGGAACAGAACTGGAACAGAACTAGAACAGAACTAGAACAGAACTAGAACAGAACTAGAACAGAACTAAAACAGAACTAAAACAGAACTAGAACATAACTAGAACAGAACTAGAACAAACTAGAACAGAACTAGAACAGAACTAGAACAGAACTAGAACAGAACTAGAACAGAACTAGAACAGAACTAGAACAGAACTAGAACAGAACTAGAACAGAACTAGAACAGAACTAGAACAGAACTAGAACAGAACTAGAACAGAACTAGAACAGAACTAGAACAGAACTAGAACAGAACTAGAACAGAACTAGAACAGAACTAGAACAGAACTAGAACAGAACTAGAACAGAACTAGAACAGAACAGAACTAGAACAGAACTAGAACAGAACTAGAACAGAACTAGAACAGAACTAGAACAGAACTAGAACAGAACTAGAACAGAACTAGAACAGAACTAGAACAGAACTAGAACAGAACTAGAACAGAACTAGAACAGAACTAGAACAGAACTAGAACAGAACTAGAACAGAACTAGAACAGAACTAGAACAGAACTAGAACAGAACTAGAACAGAACTAGAACAGAACTAGAACAGAACTAGAACAGAACTAGAACAGAACTAGAACAGAACTAGAACAGAACTAGAAACAGAACTAGAACAGAACTAGAACAGAACTAGAACAGAACTAGAACAGAACTAGAACAGAACTAGAACAGAACTAGAACAGAACTAGAACAGAACTAGAACAGAACTAGAACAGAACTAGAACAGAACTAGAACAGAATTAGAACAGAACTAGAACAGAACTAGAACAGAACTAGAACAGAACTAGAACAGAACTAGAACAGAACTAGAACAGAACTAGAACTAGAACAGAACTAGAACAGAACTAGAACAGAACTAGAACAGAACTAGAACAGAACTAGAACTAGAACAGAACTAGAACAGAACTAGAACAGAACTAGAACAGAACTAGAACAGAACTAGAACAGAACTAGAACAGAACTAGAACAGAACTAGAACTAGAACAGACTCGAACTAGAACAGAACTAGAACAGAACTAGAACAGAACTAGAACAGAACTAGAACAGAACTAGAACAGAACTAGAACAGAACTAGAACAGAACTAGAACAGAACTAGAACAGAACTAGAACAGAACTAGAACAGAACTAGAACAGAACTAGAACAGAACTTGAACAGAATTAGAACAGAACTAGAACAGAACTTGAACAAAACTAGAATAGAACTAGAACAGAACTTGAACAGAACTAGAACAGAACTAGAACAGAACTAGAACAGAACTAGAACAGAACTAGAACAGAACTAGAACAGAACTAGAACAGAACTAGAACAGAACTAAACAGAATAAAGAACTAAAACAGGAACTAAACAGAACTAGAACAGAACTAGAACAGAACTAGAACAGAACTAGAACAGAACTAGAACAGAACTAGAACAGACTAGAACAGAATTAGAATAGAACTAGAACAGAACTTGAACAGAACTAGAACAGAATTAGAACTGAACTAGAACTGAACTAGAACTGAACTAGAACAGAACTAGAACAGAACTAGAGTAGAACTAGAATAGAACTAGAACAGAATTAGAACAGAACTAGAACAGAACTAGAACAGAACTAGAACAGAACTAGAAAAGAACTAGAACAGAACTAGAACAGAACTAGAACAGAACTAGAACAGAACTAAAACAGAACTAGAACAGAACTAAAACAGAACTAAAACAGAACTAGACAGAACTAGAACAGAACTAGAACAGAACTAGAACAGAACTAGAACAGAACTAGACCAGAACTAGAACAGAACTAGAACAGAACTAGAACAGAACTAGAACAGAACTAGAACAGAACTAGAACAGAACTAGAACAGAACTAGAACAGAACTAGACAGAACTAGAACAGAACTAGAACAGAACTAGAACAGAACTAGAACAGAACTAGAACAGAACTAGAACAGAACTAGAACAGAACTAGAACAGAAACTAGAACAGAACTAGAACAGAACTAGAACAGAACAGAACAGAACTAGAACAGAACTAGAACAGAACTAGAACTAGAACAGTAACTAGAACAGAACTAGAAACAGAACTACGAACTAGAAATAGAACTAGAACAGAACTAGAACAGAAATAGAACTAGTGAACTAGAACAGAACTAAAAACGAACCTGGAAAATAAACGTGAGAACTGAATATATTAAAACTAGCTCAGAACCAGAACTAATTCAGAAGAAAACTTAAATGAATTAGAACTTAATTAGCAATAAACTAGTTCAGAGGTATTAATCATATTTAAATTTAGCCAACAATAGAAACTTCTTAATGCTTATCTAAGATAACAAAATTAGCTGGAAAAGGTGCTCCAATTTTCATACAAAACTTAAACAGTTTTTTAAATTAATTTACAGACTATTAGTTATAAAAAAATTAATAATGCTTGTCATTATTTATTACTTTAATTTAAAAAAATTTAAAGCTAAAGCTCGTGGGTGGTTTGTTAGACAAAACTTTAGACCCAATTGGCGGTAAAATTTCAAAAATCAAATTTTTTTATTCAATCAATTTGAAATCATAGTAGTATTTGGAATATTTATAAACAATTGTGTTTAAGTTAAATGATTGATTGTTAAAAAAAAAAACTAAAAAAAATCTGATGTATTAGTTGACAATTAGCGAAGACGCCGGGGCATTAGGAAATTTTAGCCAATATTTCATAAGTTTGGGCATGACTCAGAAAAATACTATATTTATGGGTAAAATGTTATACTTTGGGTAAAATGTTTATGTTATCAAAATTTATTTTAAATGCAAGCGCCCTAAGGTAGGCAATAGGTGGACTACTATAATATATTTAACCCTCTAAAGGGACCAACTATTAAACGGTACAATATTTTACTACCTCAATTTTCTCACAATGATAAAACCTTTACAAAGTTGAAAAATTGTTTCAGAAACGGAATGAAAGATTTTTTCAAATTCTTTTATAAACTTTAAATTAACATTCAATTTATTTATTATTATTATTATTAGTAATTTTTTTTAAATTCATACAGAGTTTCAGATACAAGAGCAATAATTAGATATACTTTAACATCATTCATTTAAATCGCTTTAATCGTTTTGTCGTTTAACAACCGAAAGCTGTGGGCCAATCACAAACGCCCAAGTTGCCGTTGAACATCAAAGGACTGCTGCACGAACGTTCAACTTCACATTCACACTGACAGATCACATAATTGGCACTGCACTTATTTTTGGCATCGGTGAAATAGGTGCCGTCGGGTTTTCCAACACAACGACCGCCATTGGCACAATGGGTACCGGAAGGACCGGCACTGGGGCCACTTGGTGGTGTATAGGGTTTATCGCATTTGGCATTTTCGGGGAAATCACATGAGCCGGTAGCTGAGTTGTAGTGTAGATTATTGGGACATTCGAAAATCACCTGTTGATTGTTTTGGCAAACGATGAACTGTTGGCAGGTATCGCCAGGAAGCTTGGAGCCATTTGGTTTGCCGCAGCAGACACCTTCACACTCGGTGGGTGTAGTTGGTCCGGGTATAGTTGGGGTAACCTTACCGGGGGTTGGAGTGGGTGTAGGAGTTGGTGTAGGAGTGGGTGTTGGAGTGGGTGTTGGAGTGGGTGTTGGAGTGGGTGTTGGTGTGGGTGTTGGTGTGGGTGTTGGAGTGGGTGTAGGAGTAGGAGTGGGTGTTGGAGTAGGAGTGGGTGTAGGAGTTGGAGTGGGTGTTTGTCCACAGGGAGTTGTTGGAGTGGGTGTAGGAGTTGGTGTTGGAGTGGGTGTTTGTTCACAGGGAGTAGTGGTTGGTTTTGGAGTTGTAGTTGGTTTGGGAGTAGTAGTTGGTTCTGGTGTACTTTCACAGGGAGTTGTGGTTAGTTTTGGTGTTGTAGTTGGTTTTGGAGTTGTAGTGGGTTTTGGAGTTGTAGTGGGTTTTGGAGTTGTGGTGGGCTTTGGTGTTGTAGTTGGTTTTGGAGTTGTAGTTGGTTTGGGAGTAGTAGTTGGTTCTGGTGTACTCTCACAGGGAGTTGTAGTGGGCTTTGGTGTGTGGTTGGCTTGGGAGTTGTAGTTGGTTTTGGAGTTGTGGTTGGTTTTGGAGTTGTAGTTGGTTCAGGTGTACTCTCACAGGGAGTTGTTGTAGGTTTTGGAGTTGTAGTGGGCTTTGGTGTTGTGGTTGGCTTGGAGTTGTAGTTGGTTTTGGAGTTGTGGTTGGTTTTGGAGTTGTAGTTGGTTCAGGTGTACTCTCACAGGGAGTTGTTGTAGGTTTTGGAGTTGTAGTGGGCTTTGGTGTTGTGGTTGGCTTGGGAGTTGTAGTTGGTTTTGGAGTTGTGGTTGGTTTTGGAGTTGTAGTTTGGTTCAGGTGTACTCTCACAGGGAGTTGTTGTAGGTAGTTGTAGTTGGTTTGTGGAGTTGGGAGTGGGTTTGGGAGTTGTAGTTGGTTCTGGTGTACTCACAGGGAGTTGTAGTGGGCTTTGGTGTTGTGGTTGGTTTGGGAGTTGTGGTTGGTTTTGGGAGTCAGTGGTTGGTTGGGGCAGTTGTAGTTGGTTTGGGAGTTGTAGTTGGTTTGGGGAGTTGTAGTTGGGTCTGGTGTACTCTCACAGGGCAGTTGTAGTGGGGCTTTGGTGTTGTGGTTGGTTGGGGGTTGTAGTTGGCTTGGGAGTTGTAGTTGGTTCTGGTGTACTCTCACAGGGAGTTGTAGTGGGTTTTGGAGTTGTTGTTGGTTTGGGAGTTGTTGTTTTTTTGGAGTTGTAGTTGGTTTGGGAGTTGTTGTTGGTTTTGGAGTTGTAGTTGGTTCTGGTGTACTTTCACAGGGAGTTGTAGTGGGTTTTGGAGTTGTGGTGGGCTTTGGTGTTGTTGTTGGTTTTGGAGTCGTAGTTGGCTTTGGTGTTGTAGTTGGTTTCGGAGTAGTAGTAGGTTTTGGGGTTGTTGTTGGTGCTGCTGGCGTTTCGCAGGGTGTGCTTACTTCTGGCTCATTTGGTTTGGGAGTCGTTGTATTGGGTTTTGGTGTTGTAACATTGCAACAAGCATCACAATCACACGATTCACATTGAGTTGTAGCAGCAAACACTTCCGCATATCTGCAATTCGATCTCGAAGGTAAATCACACATTTCCAATTCGCGATTGAAGTGTAAACCTTTGGGACATTCTCTTACAATAACGCGACGATTACGAGAACAAACGAGAAATTTCGAACAACTTGTTGGCAACGCAATACGTTGTCCAACATTATCCGCACTGCAAACGCTAGCCGAAGTGTAATCCACCAATGCTAGCACAGCAAAAGCTAATGAAATTAATGATAATTTCATATTTTCTTTTATATTTTTAAACTAGGCGACTTTTCGAAATTTTCTTTTTTTCAGCAAAATAATAATGCTCTTCTTTTTAAATTTTAAAAAAAGACAAGAAAGAAACTTGCCTTTTGCGAAACTAGCTAATTGATAGGTATGAATTGCAAATGTATATTGCCTGGCTTTTTATATTATTGGCCAAAGAGATGCTGCAGGCTTCACTGATAAACGAGAAAAAAATCACTTGTAGCCTAATTCAAAATATGTGTAAGTAAAAGCAAGTGCTGTTTAATTGCTTTTTGTTTATTTTTTATATTCTATATGGAAAAATATATAGAATTTTTACTAAAAATAAAACAAAACAACTTCACCAAAAGTTATCAAATAATTGATCTTATATATTTTATTTTTTATCAAAATGATAACAGTTCGCAACTAAAATGTAGCAAACACAAGTGATAAGTGCAGATTTTTTAACAATTTTGTTAAGAACTGGAACAGAACTAGAACACAACCTGAACATAAATAGTACAGAACTAGAACAGACCTAGAATAGAACTAGAGCAGAACTAGAACCGAATAGAACTGAACTAGAACTGAACTAAAACTGAACTAGAACTGAACTAGAACTGAACTAGAACTGAACTAGAACTGAACTGAACTAGAACTGAAACTAGAACTGAACTAGAACTGAACTAGAAACTGAACTAGAACTGAACTAGAACTGAACTAGAACTGAACTAGAACTGAACTAGAACTGAACTAGAACTGAACTAGAACTGAACTAGAACTGAACTAGAACTGAACTAGAACTGACTAGAACTGAACTAGAACTGAACTAGAACTGAACTAGAACTGAACTAGAACTGAACTAGAACTGAACTAGAACTGAACTAGAACTGAACTAGACTACTGAACTAGAACTGAACTAGAACTGAACTAGAACTGAACTAGAACTGAACTAGAACTGAACTAGAACTGAACTAGAACTGAACTAGAACTGAACTAGAACTGAACTAGAACTGAACTAGAACGAACTAGAAACTAGAACTGAACTAGAACTGACTAGAACTGACTAGAACTGAACTAGAACTGAACTAGAACTGAACCAGAACTGAACTAGAACTGAACTAGAACTGAACTACTAGAACTGAACTAGAACTGAACTAGAACATGAACTAGAACTGAACTAGAACTGAACTAGAACTGACTAGAACTGAACTAGAACTGAACTAGAACTAGAACTGAACTAGAACTGAACTAGAACTGAACTAGAACTGAACTAGAACTGAACTAGAACTGAACTAGAACTGAACTAGAACTGAACTAGAACTGAACTAGAACTGAACTAGAACTGAACTAGAACTGAACTAGAACTGAACTAGAACTGAACTAGAACTGAACTAAGAACTGAAACTAGAACTGAACTAGAAACTGAACTATAACTGAACTAGAACTGAACTAGAACTGAACTAGAACTTGAACTAGAACTGAACTAGAACTGAACTAGAATGAACTGAACTGAACTAGAACTGAACTAGAACTGAACTAGAACTGAACTAGAACTGAACTAGAACTGAACTAGAACTGAACTAGAACTGAACTAGAACTGAACTAGAACTGAACTAGAACTGAACTAGAACTGAACTAGAACTGAACTAGAACTGAACTAGAACTGAACTAGAACTGAACTAGAACTGAACTAGAACTGAACTGAAAACTGAACTAAACTGAACTAGAACTGAACTAGAACTGAACTAGAACTGAACTAGAACTGAACTAGAACTGAACTAGAACTAGAACTGAACTAGAACTGAACTAGAACTGAACTAGAACTGAACTAGAACTGAACTAGAACTGAACTAGAACTGAACTAGAACTGAACTAGAACTGAACTAGAACTGAACTTGAACTGAGCTAGAACTGAACTAGAACTGAACTAGAACTGAACTAACTGAACTAGAACTGAACTAGAACTGAACTAGAACTGAACTAGAACTGAACTATTCGTAATAATTTTTCAAATTAATAACTATGAGTTTTTAACAAAAATAGAATTTATTATTAGCTTATAATTTGCAATTTACATTATGAGGGTAGTTACAGGTCAACGACTGTTGATCCCAGTACAAACCCTTCGAACAATTCATCTCAACCTCACACTCACATTGACATATAACATACTTAGAGCAACTGTTAAGTGAGGGGAACATAGTGCCCTCAGCTTGCCCAACACAACGTCCTCCACTGGGACAGGCAATGCCCGATGGACCGGCAGTGGGACCAGAAGGTGGTTGATATGGCCAAGGACATTTATAGTTTTGGGGATAGTCGCAGTATTCTTTGATAGGATTGTAGACAAGATTATTGGGGCAAAGAATTTCGACGGCACAACCATAGTTGCATTTGTAAAATTTATTGCATTCGCCATCAACGGGGAATAGAGTGCCCTCAGGTTGTTCGTTGCAGATTTTAACATCATTGTTACAAATAACGTTGGAGTTATTTCCATTGCCATTACCACTACCTTCACCACCCTCGTTCACAGGCACACAAATCAGTAATTGGTTATCGAACTGAGAACCGGCAGGACAAGTTTTTTTAGTCTCACACTCACATTCGCAAACGATATAACCATTGCTTTTGGGATCGGCAAAAATTGTGCCATCAGCTTGACCGGCACACTTGCCAGGTTTGGTACAGGTTACACCAGAAGGACAAGATACATCCTCATGGACACAAATCAGTAATTGTTCATCAAACTTAGAACCGGCAGGACAAGATTTTTTAGTCTCACACTCACATTCACAAACTATATAACCATTACTTTTGGGATCAGCAAAAATAGTGCCATCAGCTTGACCGGCACACTTGCCAGGTTTGGTACAGGTTACACCAGAAGGACAAGATACATCCTCATGGACACAAATCAGTAATTGTTCATCAAACTTAGAACCGGCAGGACAAGATTTTTTAGTCTCACACTCACATTCACAAACTATATAACCATTACTTTTGGGATCAGCAAAAATAGTGCCATCAGCTTGACCGGCACACTTGCCAGGTTTGGTACAGGTTACACCAGAAGGGCAAGACACCTGACCACCGTTTCCTCCATTTTCATTGCCACCCTCATGTGCGCAAGTTTGCAGTTTTTCATCAAACTTAGTACCAACGGGACAGGGCATATCAATTTCACACTCGCACTGACACACAGTATAGCCATCGCCCTTTGAACTAGCAAACATAGTGCCATCCGGTTTACCTGCACACTTTCCGCTCTGCACACAAGTAACCCCCGAAGGACCAGTAGTACCACCAGTACCACTCTCATTCACTTGTACACAAGATTGCTGTTCTTCATCAAACTTAGAACCGGCAGGACAGGTTTTTTTAATCTCACACTCACATTCACATACGATATAACCATTGCTCTTGGGATCAGCAAAAATAGTGCCATCAGCTTGACCGGCACACTTTCCAGGTTTGGTACAGGTTACACCAGAAGGACAAGATACATCCTCATGGACACAAATCAGTAATTGTTCATCAAACTTAGAACCAGCAGGACATGATTTTTTGGTCTCACACTCACATTCACAAACTATATAACCATTGCTTTTGGGATCAGCAAAAATAGTGCCATCAGCTTGACCGGCACACTTGCCAGGTTTGGTACAGGTTACACCAGAAGGACAAGATACATCCTCATGGACACAAATCAGTAATTGTTCATCAAACTTAGAACCGGCAGGACAAGATTTTTTAGTCTCACACTCACACTCACAAACTATATAACCATTACTTTTGGGATCAGCAAAAATAGTGCCATCAGCTTGACCGGCACACTTGCCAGGTTTGGTACAGGTTACACTAGAAGGGCAAGACACCTGACCACCGTTTCCTCCATTTTCATTGCCACCCTCATGTGCGCAAGTTTGCAGTTTTTCATCAAACTTAGTACCAACGGGACAGGGCATATCAATTTCACACTCGCACTGACACACAGTATAGCCATTGCCCTTTGAACTAGCAAACATAGTGCCATCCGGTTTACCTGCACACTTTCCGCGCTGAGCACAAGTAACACCTGAAGGACCAGTAGTACCGCCAGTACCACTCTCATTCACATGAACACAAGTTTGCTGTTTTCCATCAAACTTAGTACCAACGGGGACAGGGTCTTTCGATTTCACATTCACATTGGCATACAACAAATCCATTAGTCTTAGTACTAGCAAACATAACACCATCCGATTGCCCGGCACACTTGCCGGATTGAGCACACGCAACACCCGATGGACCAGTGTGCTGAGGAGAAGCTAATTCCAGACCGTTAGCTAAGACTAAGCTTAGGCTAACAGATAGCAGAATAACACTGCCAGCTAGAAAAATATATTTTTCAATAAATTTTGTAAATTATACTTAATTTTGAACTCACTTTTCAACATGTTGACCGTTTAAACTTTCAATGCGAATAACTTATTTTGGCACGTCTATGCAAGGTTTTATACATGTGTATTGAAATATTTCTGGAAGTAACATATCTCTATAAAAGTGATTAGTTTAAGAGATTATAATTTCAATAACGAATCCGATATTGAAATAGAGGGCGATTCAATAAATACTGTTGATTTTGGGGGGCATGAAATGTTTAACAATGAATATTATTAGAAATGAACTAGAATAGAACTAGAACAGAACTAGAACAGAACTAGAACAGAACTAGAACAGAACTAGAACAGAACTAGAACAGAACTAGAACAGAACTAGAACAGAACTAGAACAGAACTAGAACAGAACTAGAACAGAACTAGAACAGAACTAGAACAGAACTAGAACAGAACTAGAACAGAACTAGAACAGAACTAGAACAGAACTAGAACAGAACTAGAACAGAACTAGAACAGAACTAGAACAGAACTAGAACAGAACTAGAACAGAACTAGAACAGAACTAGAACAGAACTAGAACAGAACTAGAACAGAACTAGAACAGAACTAGAACAGAACTAGACAGAACTAGAACAGAACTAGAACAGAACTAGAACAGAACTAGAACTAGAACAGAACTAGAACTAGAACAGAACTAGAACAGAACTAGACAGAACTAGAACGAACTAGAACAGAACTAGAACAGAACTAGAACAGAACTAGAACAGAACTAGAACAGAACTAGAACAGAACTAGAACAGAACTAGAACAGAACTAGAACAGAACTAGAACAGAACTAGAACAGAACTAGAACAGAACTAGAACAGAACTAGAACAGAACTAGAACAGAACTAGAACAGAACTAGAACAGAACTAGAACAGAACTAGAACAGAACTAGAACAGAACTAGAACAGAACTAGAACAGAACTAGAACAGAACTAGAACAGAACTAGAACAGAACTAGAACAGAACTAGAACAGAACTAGAACAGAACTAGAACAGAACTAGAACAGAACTAGAACAGAACTAGAACAGAACTAGAAACAGAACTAGAACAGAACTAGAACAGAACTAGAACAGAACTAGAACAGAACTAGAACAGAACTAGAACAGAACTAGTAACAGAACTAGAACAGAACTAGAACAGAACTAGAACAGAACTAGAACAGAACTAGAACAGAACTAGAACAGAACTAGAACAGAACTAGAACAGAACTAGAACAGAACTAGAACAGAACTAGAACAGAACTAGAACAGAACTAGAACAGAACTAGAACAGAACTAGAACAGAACTAGAACAGAACTAGAACAGAACTAGAACAGGAACCTAGAACAGAACTAGAACAGAACTAGAACAGAACTAGAACAGAACTAGAACAGAACTAGAACAGAACTAGAACAGAACTAGAAAGAACTAGAACAGAACTAGAACAGAACTAGAACAGAACTAGAACTAGAACTAGAACTAGAACAGAACTAGAACAGACTAGAACAGAACTAGAACAGAACTAGAAACAGAACTAGAACCGAACTAGAACAGAACTAGAACAGAACTAGAACAGAACTAGAACAGAACTAGACAGACCCAGAACAGACTAGAACAAACAGAACAGAACTAGAACCAAGAACTAGAACAGAACTAGAACAGAACTAGAACAGAACTAGAACAGAACTAGAAGAGAACTAGAACAGAACTAGAACCGAACTAGAACAGAACTGGAATAGAATTAGAACATAACTAAAACAGAACTAGAAATCAACTAAAACTGAACAACATGATTGAAAAGGAAATGAACTCGATCTCAAAGCTAAAATATAAGTTATCTTGCAAGGTACTCTTTTTACTTTATTTGTAATTACTTTTTACATATTTTTTTTTTAATTAATAAGTTTGAGATTTTTAATAAAATGTAATCTATTATTTGCTTATAATTTGCAATTAACATTTTGAGGATAGTTACATGTCAACAATTGTTGATCCCAGTACAAACCGCCCGAACAATTCATCTCTACTTCACACTCACATTGACATATCACATACTTAGAGCAACTGTTCAGTGAGGGGAACATAGTGCCCTCAGCTTGACCCACACAACGTCCACCATTGGGACAAGCAATACCCGATGGACCGGCAGTGGGACCAGATGGTGGTTGATATGGCCATGGACATTTATAGTTTTGTGGATAGTCACAGTATTCGGTGGCGGGATTATAGACAAGATTATTGGGACAAAGGATTTCGACAGCACAACCATAGTTGCATTTGTAGAATTTATTACAGGCGCCATCGATGGGAAAGAGTGCTCCTTCGGTTTCATTTTTACAGATTTGTACATCATTAGAGCAAGTAACATTTTGTGGGATTTCATTGCCACTACCACTTCCATTTTCGCTGCCATTACCACTACCGCTTCCGTTTTCATTTCCACTGCCACTTCCGTTTCCACTTTCACTGCCGCTTCCATTTCCACTACCACTTCCATTTTCACTGCCGCTTCCATTTCATTGCCGCTTCCATTTTCACTGCCATTTCCACTGCCACTTCCGTTACCACTGCCGCTTCCACTTCACTGCCGCTTCCATTTCCACTTCCGCTTCCATTTTCACTGCCGCTTCCATTTTCACTGCCGTTTCCATTTCCACTTCCATTTTCACTATTGCTTCCATTACCACCACCCTCAGCATGAGCACAAGTCAACAGTTGGTCATCAAATTTAGTACCATTGGGACAAGGTCTCTCTATCTCACACTCACACTGACACACAATATAACCGCTGCCCTTAGAATCAGCAAACATTGTGCCATCTGGTTTACCAGCACATTTACCGGGCTGGGCACATGCTACACCAGATGGACCAGTTGCTGGAGGTATTGACTGCCAGGGACAGTCAACATTTTCGGGATAATCACACTTCTGAGTTGTCAGATTATATTGCAAATTATTAGGACAGGTGATTATATTGGCACAACCACCTACACAAACAATATATTGATTGCACGTGCCGTCGACATATGAAACATTACCATCAGGTTTGTCCAGACAATCGGTTATATTGTTAGAACAATTGTTCTCTGTGGCAGGTGTTTCGGGAGTGGCTGGGGTTTCGGGCGTAGCAGGAGTTTCAGGAGTTGCTGGGGTTTCGGGAGTTGCAGGAGTTTCGGGAGTGGCTGGGGTTTCGGGAGTGGATGGGGGTTTCGGGAGTGGCTGGGCTTTCGGGAGTAGCAGGAGTTTCAGGAGTGGCTGGTGTTTCGGGAGTTGCAGGAGTTTCCGGTGTTTCAGGCGTGGCTGGAGTTTCTGGTGTCTCAGGCGTTGCAGGAGTTTCCGGTGTTGCAGGAGTTTCAGGGGTTTCTGGTGTACCTGGTGTTTCAGGTGTAGCAGGAGTTCCAGGACACTCCGGTGTAGGAGTTCCGGAGTAGCTGGTGTTTCAGGAGTCGCCGGTGTAACTGGACATTCCGGATTTATAACACATCCAAACTGAGCACAACAAGCTGAACAATCTGGATTCTCAATAGCCAAATTTATATACTCCAATATCGCAGTAAGCCCGTTGCCTTAAATCACACTCTCCCTTAAAAACGATTGAAGTGTAATCCTAAGGGACAATTAACTATACGTTCACTAATGCCATTTTCACACACCACAAACTTATTACAATCCGCTGGATGAGCCAAACGTACTCCATTCATTTGATACTCGCAAATATCCACAGCCAACGTAGGGCCCATTACGATGCCTAGGCCCAGCAAACACAAAGCACTTTGTACTAAAAATTTAAATCACGAAATCGGTTAGGTATATCATTACTAAAAAAGTTTTTTCTTTTTTAATTTACCTTTGAACATTTCAACAATTTCCTCCGTTCTTCCAAATATCTTCAAAAGTTTTTATTATTTATTCTTACTAACGCTTCCTCTGTAATATTTCAACAACTACTGTTGAATCGTTTTGTCTTATATTATATACACGGATATTTTTTTCGAATTATCTGAAACATTGACTAATAGATGAATATTTGATAATGTTTATGTTGTCAAATATCAATTAAAAATTTGTAATTACAGTCTGTCCGTCTGGCTGTTTACATGAACAGGGTGTACTGCCAAGAGATTTGAGGTAGAGCTAGCACAGAACTAGAACAGAACAGAACAACTAGAACAGAACTAGCAGAACTAGAACAAACTAGAACAGAACTAGAACAGAACTAGAACAGAACTAGAACAGAACTAGAACAGAACTAGAACAGAACTAGAACAGAACTAGAACAACTAGAACAGAACTAGAACAGAACTAGAACAGAACTAAACAGAACTAGAACAACTAGAACAGAACTAGAACAGAACTAGAACAGAACTAGAACAGAACTAGAACAGAACTAGAACAGAACTAGAACAGAACTAAAAGAACAGAACTAGAACAGACTAGAACAGAACTGAACAGAACTAGAACAGAACAGAACTAGAAAGAACTAGACAGAACTAGAACAGAACTAGAACACAATAGAACAGAACTAGAACAGAACTAGAACAGAACTAGAACAGAACTAGAACAGAACTAGAACAGAACTAGAACAGAACTAGAACAGAACTAGAACAGAACTAGAACAGAACTAGAACAGAACTAGAACAGAACTAGAACAGAACTAGAACAGAACTAGAACAGAACTAGAACAGAACTAGAACAGAACTAGAACAGAACTAGAACAGAACTAGAATAGAACTAGAACAGAACTAGAACGAACTAGAACAGAACTAGAACAGAACTAGAACAGAACTAGAACAGAACTAGAACAGAACTAGAACAGAACTAGAACAGAACTAGAACAGAACTAGAACAGAACTAGAACAGAACTAGAACAGAACTAGAACAGAACTAGAACAGAACTAGAACAAACTAGAACAGAACTAGAACAGAACTAGAACAGAACTAGAACAGAACTAGAACAGAACTAGAACAGAACAGAACTAGACAACTAGAACAGAACTAGAACAGAACTAGAACAGAACTAGAACAGAACTAGAAAGACTAGAACAGAACTAGAACAGAACTAGAACAGAACTAGAACAGAACTAGAACAGCTAGAAAAACTAGAACAGAACTAGAACAGAACTAGAACAGAACTAGAACTAGAACAGAACTAGAACAAACTAGAACTAGACGAGACAGAACTAGAACAGAACTAGAAGAACTCGAACAGAACTAGAAACAGAACTAGAACAGAACTAGAACAGAACTAGAACAGAACTAGAACAGAACTAGAACAGAACTAGAACAGAACTAGAACAGAACTAGAACAGATACTAGAACGACTAGAACAGAACTAGAACAGAACTAGAACAGAACTAGAAACAGAACTAGAACAGAACTAGAACGAACTTAGAACAGAACTAGAACAGAACTAGAACAGAACTAGAACAGAACTTTAAAAGAACAGAACTAGAAAGAACTAGACAGAACAGAACTAGAACTCGCAACAGAACTAGAACAGAACTAGAACAGAACTAGAAACAGAACTAGAACAGAACTAGAACAGACCTAGAACAGAAACTAGAACAGAACTAGAACAGAACTAGAACAGAACTAGAACAGGAACAGAACAGAACTAGAACAGAACTAGAACAGAACTAGAACAGACTCGAACAAACTAGAACAGAAACTAGAACAGAACTAGAACAGAACTAGAACATAACTAGAACAGAACTAGAACTAGAACAGAACTAGAACGAACTAGAACAGAACTAGAAACAGAACTAGAACAGAACTAGAACAGAACTAGAACAGAACTAGAACGAAACTAGAACAGAAACTAGAACAGAACTAGAACAGAACTAGAACAGAACTAGAACAGAACTAGAACAGAACTAGAACAGAACTAGAACAGAAACTAGAACAGAACTAGAACAGAACTAGAAAACAGAAAGACAGAACTAGAACAGAACTAGAAAACAGAACTAGAAACAGAACTAGAACAGAACTAGAACAGAACTAGAACAGAACTAGAACAGAACTAGAACAGAACTAGAACAGAATAGAACAGAACTAGAACAGAACTAGAACAGAACTAGAACAGAAACTAGAACATAACTAGAACAGAACTAGAACATAACTTGAAAACAACTAGAACACAACTCGAAAAATAACACCCCTGTCGCATTACTTCCCTAATTATTATCATTGATTAAATTTTTTTTTGGCATTGTTTTCTTTTTCTTTGCCGGCTGATAATTATTCGTACTAACACAATTTTGTTTTATTTCTTTCAAGCGTCTAGTATTGATTTCAGAGAACAGATTTTTTTAGTTGAGTTAATAATGTTGTCTTATCTTCTATGGAAAGGAAAAACGTAGAACAACAGATACTACTTTTAATTGAACAATATTATTGATTTTTGATTTAAATAAATATAATCGATGTATTTCCGTAACTACATACTACATTTGTATGCTTATGCATTCAAAATTTAGAATATGAGAGGAATTAAAAAAACAAATTTATGAGTATTTTTTGCTTTATAAAGTTAACACGTGTTAAGAAGGTTGTAAACAACTTGAGTGCGTAACGTTGCAAATTATGAGAGCAGAGGAGATTAGATAAAAGCAGTGTAATTCTATTTGAGAAATACTATGATAGTTAAAATTAATAATGGAATAGATATTTATGCTTAAGGAAATAATTAAAGGGGATTCCTAAAATTCTCGAGGTTTACTTAGTCATATGAGTTCTTCTGTCTTTCTATTGAAATAAGTTTTTTTTTTGAATTTGTGATTTCTTTGCTTTTCCAGTATTAAACTTATTGACCTATTAGAGTTCTAATTTTCATTTGTTTCATTTTTATCATGAAAATAAAAGTAAAATATTCGGAATTAAGACAAAAAACTACTTAAATGCTTTATTACTAAAAATAATCCACATTTTTTACATTGGTGTAGGACGATCATGCCCGACTATGCATTCTTACTTGTTTCACATATTTTTAGGTTGTCATCATATATGCCTTCCAAGCATTAATAAATTTAGGTTTATCTCCTTGTTTTGTACACAAACAGAAACCAGTTGATGTATCTTTAGCAGGTTTTGATCCTAGATATGTGCAAGCTCAGTACCACATAATTCCTGGAAGAGAAATATAATAGTTTAAGTAATATACAAAATTGTGTGAAATATAAATGTAATAGAACTGAACTGGAAATGAACAGAACTAAACAAGAAGTGAAATATAAATGAAATAGAACTGAACTAGAACAGAACTAACAGAACTAGAACTGAACTAGAACTGAACTAGAACTGAACTAGAACTGAACTAGAACTGAACTAGAACTGAACTAGAACTGAACTAGAACTGAACTAGAACTGAACTAGAACTGAACTAGAACTGAACTAGAACTAACTAGACTAGAACTAGAACTGAACTAGAACTGAACTAGAACTGAACTAGATCTGAACTAGAACTGAACTAGAACTGAACTGAACTAGAACTGAACTAGAACTGAACTAGAACTGAACTAGAACTGAACTAGAACTGAACTAGAACTGAACTAGAACTGAACTAGAACTGAACTAGAACTGAACTAGAACTGAACTAGAACTGAACTAGAACTGAACTAGAACTGAACTAGAACTGAACTAGAACTGAACTAGAACTGAACTAGAACTGAACTAGAACTGAACTAGAACTGAACTAGAACTGAACTAGAACTGAACTAGAACTGAACTAGAACTGAACTAGAACTGAACTAGAACTGAACTGAACTAGAACTGAACTAGAACTGAACTAGAACTGAACTAGAACTGAACTAGAACTGAACTAGAACTGAACTAGAACTGAACTAGAACTGAACTAGAACTGAACTAGAACTGAACTAGAACTGAACTAGAACTGAACTGAACTAGAACTGAACTAGAACTGAACTAGAACTGAACTGAACTGAACTGAACTAGAACTGAACTGAACTGAACTGAACTAAACTGAACTGAACTGAACTAGAACTGAACTAGAACTGAACTAGAACTGAACTAGAACTGAACTAGAACTGTACTAGAACTGAACTAGAACTGAACTAGAACTGAACTAGAACTGAACTAGAACTGAACTACTGAACTAGAACTGAACTAGAACTGACTAGAACTGAACTAGAACTGAACTAGAACTGAACTAGAACTGAACTAGAACTGAACTAGAACTGAACTAGAACTGAACTAGAACTGAACTAGAACTGAACTAGAACTGAACTAGAACTGAACTAGAACTGAACTAGAACTGAACTAGAACTGAACTAGAACTGAACTAGAACTGAACTAGAACTGAACTAGAACTGAACTAGAACTGAACTAGAACTGAACTAGAACTGAACTAGAACTGAACTAGAACTGAACTAGAACTGAACTAGAACTGAACTAGAACTGAACTAGAACTGAACTAGAACTGAACTAGAACTGAACTAAACTGAACTAGAACTGAACTAGAACTGAACTAGAACTGAACTAGAACTGAACTAGAACTGAACTAGAACTGAACTAGAAACTAGAACTGAACTAGAACTGAACTAGAACTGAACTAGAACTGAACTAGAACTGAACTAGAACTGAACTAGAACTGAACTAGAACTGAACTAGAACTGAACTAGAACTGAACTAGAACTGAACTAGAACTGAACTAGAACTGAACTAGAACTGAACTAGAACTGAACTAGAACTGAACTAGAACTGAACTAGAACTGAACTAGAACTGAACTAGAACTGAACTAGAACTGAACTAGAACTGA